CCCCTCCTCCTTTTCCACCCTCGATCGCTCGTCCCTACTTTGACCTAGGACACGTGCCCAACGGAAGCCCCTCTTTCCCCTGCCCCGCGATGAACCCAACCTCCCTCAAGCCAAAACTTCCCACCCTGCCAGACCTCCCGACCGCCCCGGGTGCCACCAACCACACCCTCTCCAAATCCAACCCTTATCTGTGGCCCTTCAGTGACGACAGCAGACCCCCAACTGCCTCCTCTTCCCAGATCTCCAGCCGGGTCTGGGGCTGGGTTGTGGAGGGGAGGGTCTGGGAGTCCACACTTCGCCACCGACCTCCCTTCCCTCTCCCCTGTCCCACATTGCCGTGTTTGGAATAAACCATGTTTTTATGCCTCCTCGGTCCACGCCTGAGCCCCGAGTCTGTCTCTTAGCCTCCCTCAACTTCTCTGGAGGAAACAGAAACGGAGAAAAGTCCCGCATGGGGAAGAGGAGACAGGACGAGAACTAGAGACTCTCAAAGGGAGGTGGGGAGGCGAAGATCCAGAAAAGGGCAGCAGGGGAAAGACCCCGAAAAGAGAGAGATTTAAAGGGGGCCGGGGCAGAGACCCCAAGAGAGCGGTGAGAGATCTCGGATGCAAACCATGTTAGCATCAAACCTGCGGTCCCATTTCCCACGCCTATAGGCACCGAGGCTGGCTAGACTCTTAAGATCCTGTTCGTGCAAGCGACGAGCGTGTCTGACATATCCCAGCCAATCCACATTATCTTGAAGGTCGTTAATCTCACCAATGAGAATCTATTTCGAACATTTCATTATGCCAATTAGCCAAACCTCTGGTGCTGATGGGCGATAAAGAGAGCCGAGCACTTGTAATAGCGGCCTCCAGAGGGTGGACTTCTGATTAAGTGCTCGCTGACCAGGGTTGCCGTGTGAATGCCTGGTTAGGCAATCGACTGCCCCTAGAGGGTGGATTCAACCACTAACTCACACGTAACATCCAGCTCGTCTACACTAAAGCGTTTGGAAAGAAATTAAAGCCATCATAACAGGGAGAGGAGAAACCGGCTTTATGGGCCCTCAGGGAGCAGAAACCCAGTCTCCCAGTCAGTAAAAGCGCAAGTTTGCATATATGAGTAATTAATTAAGTGGGACGAAAGCCCTGGGAATTGAAGGTGGAAGATGGAGTCCGGGCCTGTAGCCCTCCCAGGGGACGGGGACAACAGGCCTCCTGGAGAACTACAACTCCCAGAAGCCCTTGCCACTGCCACGAGGAAGAGCGCCCGCAAGTCACGCGGAAGCTGTATTTTCTCCGTATCCGCTGGCGGCTTGTCTCGCTGGGCCATTGCCCAGCCGATGCCCTTACCTGAGTTCCCCTTCCTCTCCCTCCCCCACCGCCCTCCCTAATTATTGGGCCGGGAGGTTTTCAAGATAACCGCGCCGTGGGGCGGGCGCAATGGGTGCAACCGGGACCCGGAAGTGACGCGCTCACCTCGCGCCGGCGGCGAGAGGGTTCGAAGATGGCGGCGCGCAAGGGCCAGCGGCGCGTGTGTGAAACCGGGGAACCCATGGACGCCGAGTCCTGCGACACAGGTTCCAAGAGACCGGCCCAGGTGTATCTGCCCGGCCGGGGGCCGCCGCTACGCGAAGGGGAGGAGCTGGTCATGGACGAGGAGGCCTATGTGCTGTACCACCAAGCGCAGACTGGTAGGGCTGAGGGTCCGGACTCCTGGGTCTCGCGGTGGCTGATTCTGAGCCCTTAAGAGGCGCTCGGGAAGAGAAGGCTGGGGTCTAAGAGGGGTGATGTCGCGCAAGAGACGGTTGGTCCCTGAGGGAAGTAGGGGCCGAGATCTCTTTGTCCCAACCCAACTCGTAATCCCCTCTTTTCATCCCTAGGCGCCCCCTGTCTCAGCTTCGACATAGTCCGGGATCACTTGGGAGACAACCGGACAGAGCTTCCTCTTACGCTTTACCTGTGTGCCGGGACCCAGGCAGACAGTGCCCAGAAAAACAGGTGAGTGAGACCCGAGGCTATCTCAGGACCAGGAGTCCAAGTCCTCAGCTCCTTTTTCGGACCGACCGAGGCTTTAGGGCTTCCAGTTTCTGCTTTTCCCAGACCCAAGAATCTGAGTTTGCGGCCTTCCTTCTCCCTAAGGATCCTGGCATCCAGTGCCTAACTCACCCCACCTTTTCTCCCAGACTAATGATGCTTCGGATGCACAATCTGCATGGGACGAAGCCCCCATCCTCAGAGGGCAGTGATGAAGAGGAGGAAGAGGACGATGAAGAGGATGAAGAAGAGCGGAAGCCTCAGCTGGAGCTGGCCATGGTGCCCCACTATGGCGGCATCAACCGAGTTCGGGTAGGTATGCTCCCAGGAGCCTGCTCTGTGTTCTCTGGAGCACACCTCACCCATCCCCTATGTCCACAACTCTCCCAGCACCTCTTCCAGCTTTTAGAAAAGTACTTGTCACATTAATTACTTTTATATATTTTTGCTGTTATGATCACTGTCGTCACACGCTAAATACTGTTTTTATTTATTTATTTATTTATTTTTGAGTTGGAATCTCACTCCGTCGCCCAGACTAGAGTGCAGTGGCCGCTCCTGGCCACCGCAGCCTTGACCTGCTG